GCCTGCTTCCGATTCTGGGTCTCCCTCTCTCTCTGCCCCTTCCCCTGCTCATGCTCTGCCTCTCTCTCAAATATAAACATTTTAAAAAACTTAAAAAGAAAAAAAAAGGAACTGCAAGCTGGGCACGAGGTGATGGATCTCGTGGGGCACCCCAGGGAGAGCGGGTAGAAGCAGAGTTACCTGCACAAGGCCAGGGGCCCGGCCGCCTGCCCACGGCACTCGCTGAGCCAGGCCCAACAAGGACCCCGCTCCCTGACCTCAGCGAGGAAACACAGCTAGTGACCTGCCTTCACCCTACTGAGCGGGAGGACCCCGGGCCACAGGGAGCCCAAGGCGGCACGGGAGCCCAGGCTGGGGAGAAGCCACCAGCAGGCAGGCCCAGCCAGCACTCTCTCTCTGGGACTCCGCTCTGTCAGTTAAGCGCCCACACGAAAATGCCGCCTGTGAATGGCATGCTTTGGGCTGGGACAGAGGGGAAAACAAAAGCTGATTCCTGGGTTTGGGGGGCAGATATGACACCACATAGCCCTTTAGGAGCAAAACGTGGCCCACTCACAATTGCATGCATCCCTGTAATCCTTTCCCACCGCCACACAATGATCTTTCCTTCCTCGGATGTTTAGCCTCAAGTGACACAGGGCAAGGCAGCCCCTGACCTCTGCTCCCGGGAGCCAGTTCGGCTGGCAGGGTTTGGAGGGAGCCTTCAGACTAGGTGACATCTCAGGACCAGGCACACAGGCCAATCAGGAACTGATCTCATTAGACAAACCGAGTCGCAGCTTCTCGGTAACAAACGCCTGGCCCCTTCCTTCATGCCCGTGAAAGCCCCGGACCCTCTCTGTTGCTTCAAACCCAACCGAAGGTGTGGTCATCCCTCAGCCAGTGACCTTGCAAGCCAGGAACCAATCTTAACCTTTGAAAGGAGACCGGTGACCACACGAAAGGAAATGGTGCCCAAGGAACCCACACTCAAGGCCTAATACGCACTTTACCAAAATAAAATCCCAGAAGGAATTCCGAGCAAACACGGAACTACATTTGTACTAGCAGAATACTCACCAGGTGGGGAGTGCAAAATCCCCCCCACCCCCTGGCCTGTCAGGGCACAAGGCCCGGCCTGACTCCCTGTGTTCACCAGCCATGACCTTACTCCAATGGCTGGGCCCTGGCAGGGCGAGCAGCCAGGAAAGCCCGTTTTCTGGGATGATGCTAACATCCTGTACCTTTGTGTCAGCTCTACCTCAAACTTCAAACCTCTTACAGTTCGTGCCTGTGAATTTTACTTCAACGGTAGAACAAACCGAGCAGGCACTGGACTTCCTGCTACACACGCGGGCTCGGAGGAAGCGTGCCGGTGCCCGCGGCTGAAGAACGAACGAACGGAGGGAGGAGGCGGGCGGGACGGCCAGTCCGGGGAGGCCGGTGCTGAGATCTGAAAAGGCCTGCAGCACAACGCCGGGGGGACTACGAACTCGGAGTTGTAACCGGATCTTTAAACAGTCCCTCCGTCTTTCCCACAAACCACAGCGCGGGGTGAGCGAAGTTACAACATCGACGGTCCCGGTCGCCGGCTCCCCTGCGGCAGACGAGAACGAGTCTCGGACACGGAGAATCGTGCTCGGGCTCTGGGGCAGCGACCCCCTCCCCCCGCAGCTGGCTGTGCAGTTACCACCACCACCAACCCGTGAAAGGGGAGTGAAGAATGAGGACACCAGACTTGCTAAATAGGTATTGTTTATTAAGGCTTGTATTCTCCAGAGGAAAAGTTATCTGATGTTGTCCGTGACTCCACACAGGCAGGAACAGTTCAGAGAAAGTGACACGTTCTAAATACAAGTCTAAATAATACAGCTTAAACTTTAACTCAGAGGGTCTTTTGGAGTAAATAGTTTTCAGAAGGTATCTGCTCTCTAAACAGGAAGATCCCCTACAGTGGGCGCGTGCAGACTGCGTGCCGGAGCGACGGGTGTGAGCACCATGGTCATGCTTGACTCGGACTCCAGGTGGCAGCCAGTTCAAGGTCCCTCGGTCCACAGAACAGGACAGCAAATTCAGTTTCTAAAAGGTTTTTTTTTTTTTTTTTTACCCATTCAACGGGAAAGAGAAACCAGACGCGCACGGTGAAACCGACGCCCGCGGCATCGCCCGCCGCTCCGTCTGCACCAGCGGATCGGACGTGTAAAGCTCAGCATCGTGGGCAGGAAACTCAGAAGGGCGTCGGGTTGTCGGGTGAGGAGGGGGGCAGGTGGGGTGACGCACACAGCTCGAACGGCCGCCCGCTGAGCCCGGCCCTCCGCGTGCCGCCGCTTCCACCCCGCCGGGCGGAGAGCAGCACGAGGGACCCGGCGGCCGCGGCGCCTGAGACCGTTCGAGGGTGGATGGCGCTCCGTGCGACGGGGCACGTTCACCACATCTGGAAAACTAAAACGTATCTTTTCGTCTAGTAGAAAAATCAAACGGATTAGCGTTTTAGACAGATAACAGGTAATAAAAATAGCAAACTGCCCAAATGAGGTGATTATTAACTTGTTGATTTCAACATTTTGAAAAGAAGTATTTTAACAGAAGACAGTAAACGCCAAAACCAGTCATGGTTTCTCGTGTCTGCTATAAAGCAACAAAGGGCTGAGAAATGAGTTCCACGTAAACATGTTAAAGAACACTGACCAGAAAAGTAAGAACATAATTTCTGCATAAAACCTGAAAAAAACCAAAAAACCACCTTTCAGATGTATTAGGGCTTTCTGTTTGGTTTGCTTTTGAAGGATACTTATATCTCACATTAGGTCTGATTGATAGGCTGACAGAAAACATACTCCTTTATTAGTGAGTTCTAGAATACGATAATCCATAGAAAAAGTACAAACGAACGCAGATCCATCTGGGCAAAAATGAAAGACAATGAGCGAGAGGTGCGACGAGTCGGGCCCCGCACGAGACAACAGCACCAAGCACACGTTCTCTTCAACTTTTTCAGTCCGACGTTAGAACACAGAAGAAACTGGTTCATCCTTATTGTTTGTTTCGATTCTGCCGTTCCTGTAAATAGAAAAAGGAGAAGAGGTGAACACACGGAGTGAACACGCCACGCACACTCCCTCCGAAGTGAGGTCCCCCGGGCCGCGCTGTGGGCTGTGGCCCCCATCTGGGCCTGCACCCCCCGCGGGGACCAGCCAGGCCACGCCAGCAGGCACCCCGGGCCTCTGATAACTATACCCAGCCCTCGGCGTCCACCTGCTCCACGCAAGTCCTCTCTGGCCGGGTCTCTTTCCTACCACACCCAGAACCATCTTTCCCAGAGCATGTCTGACGAGCCCGTGACACATCTCAGTCTCTCCCCACGTCCGCCCGGGTGGCTTCTCATCAATAGGGGCAGAAACCACACTGGTCCTTCCTCACAGTGCTGCAACTAAACTCCACTGGAGACACGCAAACAGTGGTCTAAGGAAGAAGCACACTGCTGAAAGTTCTGGTAGGTTCCACACGTCTCTCAAGCTCCCTGGAGGAACAGAGTAATGCCGTGAGTGCCCCGAGTCTGCCTGCAGGCACGCCTCCCACGGACCAACTCGACACTCTCTCTTCCCAACCCCACTGGCCAACTCAGGTTTGGGACCCCAGACCCTTAAAAACGGCAACCGGTTACAGGCAGAAATTTACCCCTAGCCTCGTCACAACTCCCAGAACCTAGCGAGTCAGGAAGCGTATCTGAGATAAACCACAGCCACACAAAGCCTGCTGCCAGGCTGAAATCCACCAAGGAGCTTAAGCTTCATGACCAGTGATCTCTGCTCTATCCCTGCAAATTCAGCAATTGGGTATTTTACTCTACACCTAAAAGAGTGAGAATACGGGATCTCAGTAACTGGAAATAAATCACACGCCCCTCTCCTTTCCCTACAAACGAAAGAAGGACCAATGCGTTTTCAAGTTTTACAAACCGTGATGGTTACGCTATGTGCAGCGCCTAACACTGCTAACGTCACCATCGGCTACAGGCCTTTCGGCTAAAAATGCTCCGGGACGTTTGCCATTCACAGACGGGTGAGGCGTCTGTCGGTACAGGACCGCACACCCAACCATCGTCAACTGACGTTTAATTTAAAAAAGGATGTTTCGATATCAAAACAGCAGGAAAAAACCTCAGCATGAACTCTCTTAGACAAGCCAGCTTCACAGAGTGTGCTTCGCCGTCCTTGTTCCCACCCTGGGCCAGTTCACGGCCACGGGCCCCGTTCCGCTGCAGCACAGGCAGACTCGCTTCAGCGGGCCGGAACTGCTCAGGCTCCGGGAGGTTCTCGGTGGCCGAAGGGGAACGCACTACGTCGGAGGCCCAACTCGCGGCTCGCACCCCGGGTTCTAGATGCTCACTTCCGGTTAGGGGAGGCCTGCGTTCCACACCCACTCTGCCCCCACCTCCTCTTTGCCACCCGGAGGGAGAGTTCAAGGTCCCAAAACCTGTAAGGCACTGGGTTTTCAGGAGAAAAAGAAGCCACGGCCTCCAGACCAGAGCTTCCCGGGCAAGGAGGGCGGTTCCCTGGGGGGTCAGGCAGGGCCCGTAGCCCCCCACGGCACCAGCAGCCTCGCCGGCCTACCCCAGTCCACAGGCGTTATTTCTAAGTGTCCAGGGAGACTTCTGCACCGTGGCCCCAGGGCTCCCGTTCCCTAAGAACCACAAAGCTATGTGGTCATGTCCACTTACGCGCCCCCCCACCGGTGACCGTGCCTGGACAAGCCCAGACGCTGCTGGCCCTGCCTGAGGCCACGGGGACCTGGCGGTCGCCGGGCCCCAGCCACCGAGCACGAGGCCTCGGCTCCGGCTCCGGCCCCGGCCCGCCCAGAGCTCGAGCGCGAGAAGGTCAGACTCACCTTGCGCACCTCCTCCTCCTCCTCCTGACGCTTCTCGTAGTGAGAAAAGTCGTCAAAGATGGAGGTCGTGTGCTTGTAGGAAGCGATGATTCTCAGCACTTGCTTTGCTTTCTCTAAGGGCACCTCCTGGGTGTCACGGGAGTTGGTGACCGGCTTGTTGTCGTTATTCTCCAGCCTGATGTGCCGCAGCTGGTTGTTGGGCACGTCCTTGACGAAAATCCATTTCACGTCAAACTTGCCTTTCCACTTGTCCTGAGACCAGACCCCCGCGCTGGTGCCGTAGTCCACGGGCGACTTCATCTCGGCCACCCCGCAGAAGTGCCCGCTCCCGTTGACGCTGAAGAGCAGGTACACGGGCCCCTTGCTGCCGGCGGCGCGGAAGGCACCGTCCAGGCGCTTGTTGCCGTGCTCCGTGCTGCACCAGATGGAGTACTTGATGGAGCGGTGGATGTCGTCCTCCGAGTAGCTCTTTATGATGAACACGCGGCCGCTCTTAAGATTCCAATCAAACTCCTTAGGGTTATAGCTGTGGGCCGCTTTCAGTTTTTCCAGAACGGGGTGGGACTCCACACTGGGGGCAGAATTAGGCTGAGCGCTTCCAGGAGAGTTCCCGTCGCCGCCGGCCCCTCCGCTCTGCCCGAACGCCGCATTTCTGTTGCGAGGGGCGACCCAGCGGGTCTGGGGTGGCTGCTGAGGGCTCGGATACTGCGGTTGGGCCAAAGGGGGGGGCTGAGCGGGAAGAGGCTGCACGACCGGTTGGGGCTGCGGGGCAGGCTGGGGGGCCGGTGCCTGCTGGGGGGCCGGAGGCTTGGGCACAGGCCCTTTGTTGTCCCACGTGCCGATGTCCATGTTATGCTTTATAGGTGGCGGGGGCAGGGCTGCCCCAATGACAGGTCCGCTTTTTGCTTTCATTTTCGGCTGTGGCTTTGCCGGCTTGCTGGCAATGGCAGCCCACGAGGTCGGCTTTGAAACCGGCATATTCACGCTTGTCCCACCATTCCCGGAAAGGACACCGGCCATCGCCACACTGCTAACCACCGACCCCACGGTCTTGACAGCAGAGGTGGTGACGTCCCCAATCTTCAGGCCCACCATGCCCTGCTCCAGGCTGTTCATGCCGGGGGCCTTGTTGAGGGTATCGCTGTGGAAGCCCGTCTGCCCGTCCACGATCGTGCCACCCAGGGAGCTCGGCGGGTACGTGTAGCTGCTCCCGTAGGCTGAGCTCTGAGCCTGCTGCCCCTGAGACCCGCTCGTCCCCCAGGCGGAGAAGGCAGGGTTTTCGGGGAAGAAATTGAACCTGTGCTGGTAGATGCTGTTCCCCAGGCCCCCGGGCTGGCCGAAGACAGCATCGTGCATGAAGTGGTGGTCTCCGTTACTGAGCTGTCCGTAGGTGGTGAGGTACGGGATCGGAGGGTCCCCTCCAGTGGACCAGGGCGCCTCATTGAGGGAGTAAGGAAATCCGATGGACGGTGGGTAGTAGCTGGACAGGTAAGGATCCGCCATGGAGGGGTAACTGTTACTCTGGGAAAACAAGCGGGGACGGGTTAGACTGCTCTCAGGACGCGACTCGGAGACTTCCTGCCTCGGTCCAGGCGGGCTGCACGGCACCGTCACCCCCCACAGGAACTGAGGCCGCCCAGTGAGAACACAGCAAGGGCTGAGAGCAGCCAGGTGGTCACCTGCGGCGTGCTGGGTCCGCGTGACGCGACCAGGCCCAGCCGCCCCGTCACTGGCCGCCAGCAGTCCACCTGCAGCCACTCCTGCACCCTCAAGCAGCACACTGTTCACGCGGGAGGGAACCAGAGTGAGGAGCGGCGACGCCGCCGACCCCGCACACGGGACAGCACCGCCGGCACGGCGGGAGAGGAGGACAGCTGTGGGAAGGCCAAGACGGCTTTCGGAGAGCTCGGGGCGACAGGGCGGCTTGCCCGGCAGCCTGGTTTCAAGCCCCCTGACTGCTCAATGCTCCCGCGGGTCCCCGTGGGTCCCGGCTCACGGGCAACACCCTTTTCCGCTGGACCCACGGGCTCCTCCCACCCCCTCTATCAAAGGCCGCTTCAGAGGCCCCTCCCACACGCCTTTCCTGCCAGCCCACCCCCACTTCCGAGTCCAAAGGGGCCTCGCCATCTCACATCCCCACCACGGCCCAGGCGTGACCTTGGCTCTCACCGCGTCAGGCAGCACAGAGGCCTCGGCCGGCTCCTTGGCCAAGACTCCGTGTCCTGCCTGCTCTCTGAGCTGGAGAAGCCTTCACGTCGGGCTCCAACTTCACCTGGGATTCCTTACTGAGAGGACACCCGTGCATCGGCTGGAGCCTCAGAGAGGGCTTTTCGAGCGGCTGGACTGCCCTCAAGGCAGCAGAGACTCACCTCCAGAATCTCAGGAAATCTGCCCAGGGTGTGGATTTAGACCTGAGGTCAGCCATTCTGGCAAGGCATCTCCTTGGGGAGAGACTCAGCGGGCTTCTGGCCACAGCTGGGGCCCCCTGGCCATGCCACTGGCAGGTGATGTAGATGGTTTCCTGGCAGGTATGGGTGGTAGGAGGAGTGGAGGGGTGCAGGGTAGGGGTGCAGGCTTCCCGCCCAGGGCAGCTGGTTTAAGGAGTGGCAAGGCCATAAAGGAAAACAAGAGTGGAGGCAGCAGCAAGCTTTCCAGCCCATGCTACCATTTTCTGACTGCTTAGTGGGCCCCCTCCTCTCCCCTACCCTCCTCTACAAACAACCAGAAAGTTCTACAAGGAGAGCATTGGCCAGAGACCTCCTCCTCCAGCCCTGCACCGACTATCACGTGAGAACACCGCTGTCCTGGCCAGCACAGTCCCAGGGACCCACAGAGGGGGGGGAGCCGGGCTGAGGCCGCCAGGGAGGGAGAGCCAGAATGCCAAACAAGCATTTGCGCTCTGCCACCGTGAGAAGGCGTGGGACTCTCCAGACCCCGCTCCCCCAGAGGACCCTCTGGAGAACAGGCCGGTCCCTCAGCAGTCCCAGCTCAACACGTGACGTCGGTCACCCAGCCTCCTGGCTGTCGGTCTCCACTGCCACCTCCTGCTGCCCCATCCCATCGAGGATTCGCAGGACCTCAGGCATCGCTGCTCCTGCCTGTTGGCTGCTCCATTTGATGGCAGACAACTGCAGAAATCACTTTTTAAAAGGCAAGGACTTTCCCAGCAATAAAAATCATGGAGATGCCCAGGGGGTGAAAAACAGACAACGAACCGGCCTCATCATCAATGTCCCATAAGCCGCGGCACAGCTGGAGCTACCTTCCCCAGAAAGGACGTCAGTGACTCCGGCCCCTTTCTTGTAACCTCCTCTGTCTGCCTGCATCCAACCTGGGCCCTCAAAGATGCTCTCCAGGGGGCCGGTCAGGAGGGAGAGCAAATCACCAGGTTCGGGCAGAGGGCGTGCTCTGCGAGGCGAGGGGCAGCCCCAAGAGCTAAGCCTGCCGCCTGACCTCAGCACCCACAGACGGGGCTCACACGGGGCTAACACCTCACTCGTGACTCACAGGTAAGCCTCACCCGTAGCAGGACGTAACTGAGGACACAAACCATCATGCGTTGTGTTCTCCATTCAACGTCCCTCCAAGTTCATCTAAAGTCCTGCTGTGGACTGGACAGAACTGGCGTTCCGGGTCCTGACCACGCTGTGCACAGGCGCTTCTCGGCGGCTTCCAGCCGGGACCGTCCCAGGAACAGGAAGCCAGCCAGCCGGCACCCCTGAACTCTCCTGGCTCATGGGAGTGCCTCCCGGCAGGAGGGCGTCTGGGAGAGAAGTGGTGGCCCTGAGTGGACCTAACCCTCTCCTCCTGGGACCCGTCAGTGCAGGCGGGTCACGGTGAGCACGGACGGGAGAGTCACAAAAGCACCTGGACTACAGATCTTCCTCCAACGCTACGCCTCTTACAGCAAAAGGAACGGAGACTCCTCGCTTCAAGGCCCCAGATGAAGGGGCGTCCTGACAAGCGGCCGCAGGCCCACCAGCAGCCGTCCCCACGCGCACCAGGCCCGGCACTCCCACGCCAGCCCTGCCCACGGCCTCCGTCCGTCCGTCTGTCCTCACCTCTGTCCTCCCCGGGGACACAACTGGCTCCAGGCCACCTGGAGGGCCGCGTGCGGCAACCTCAGCGCCGTGAGCCTGACCCGGTCTCCACCCCTGTCCTCCCGGCAGCTCTTCGCTGCACCGCCGGCCGTCTTGCCTTCAAAGCGTTAAAGCCAAGCAAGTCGGCGTACGAACCTACGTGCAGTCAGCCATTCGTCCCGTGAGAAGACCCGGATGTGTTTACTCTCGCATGCTATTCGGACCACACCCCCTCCCTCCCGGGCTGTGCTGCACAGGAAGCGGTCCCCGTCAGTCCGTCCGTCCGCCGCAGCACATAGGGCCCAAATGCTCCGGCCTTAACTTCCAGCAAAACTGAAATTCTCCTCCCCGCATAGGTGAACCGGGCCGCGGCCCCGACTGGCCAGGCTGTGCCCCGCAGCGCGGGCTCCAGACACATGTGCTGCCGCCTGGACGCTCCTCGGCTCGACCCACCGCGCCCCGAGGCTGCCAACTGGAGGCCGGTGTCTCGGGGGTGCGGGTGCAGGCGCCGCAGCGGCAGAAACGACCGCCCGACTCTCCCTCCGCTCGAGGCTGGGGTGCTGCACGTCCAGGAAAAGGCAGGACCTACGAAAACCTTTTTGAGGCCAGTGCGGGTAAAACCATCCCCCTGACTGACGCTCCCACATACGAGACTCCGTCTAATTGTAGCCTTTGCTAGAACGCAGGGCCCCAAAACGGGGAGGCGAGGCGGACTCATCTTCAAGGCAAGCCGAGGCTCCACGAGGAAAGACTGACAAACACCGGACTCCCGGGCGCCTCCTTGTGGCCAAGTCCAAGATCACAGACAAAATGGGCTCTCCAGACAAAACAGACTTCCACCAAGTCTCTGTCTGTGATCCCTGTGTCACTCTCGTTGAAAAACCACAGTAAAACACAATAATGAACCTATTCTAAAATTCAAACTTTTTCACACTTGGTAAAGTACAGTCACGTTAAAAAACAAACTCATCCTGAACGGCTAGAAATTACGCTTAAGTAAATTATGTAGAAGTGGAAAGTATCAACGGCAATTACGAAGACTGACAAAGGGACCAGAGCTGCAAGGGGCCCAGCAGGTGCACCCGGGGGAAGCCCTGGGGACACAGGCTTGGCTGCATGTGTCTCTGTGCAAGAGGACTGCAGTCCCTCAGCTGGCTGGGTCGCGTGCAAGGAGCACAGTTTCTGACGCCAGAGAATTTCTGCCTTTGTGTCCAGCTCGAGGCACGTAGTTTCTTCTTTTAAGTAGGCTCCACACCCAGCACGGAGCCCAACACAGGGCCGGAACCCACCACCCCGAGATCAAGAGTTGGACGCCCAACCGACTGAGCCACCCAGGCGCCCCATGAGGCGTGTCGTTTTGAGCAACTTGACATTAAGAAGTATGTGAAGACCCCACTGGGCCCCACCAGCCGCACTCCACGATGGCTGGTCTCCACTGAGTGGGTGCCATCACCGAAGCCCACAGCCTTTGGACACGACCGCAAGAAACCCGCGCCAGGCCACGGCCTACAAGACCACGCGCTCCTTGCTAACTCGCCCAGTCGCTCGAGCCCGCCAGAACTGCCCAGCACAGAGCAAGCCATGAGCCAGCTGGCCCCCAGGCTCTCCACATGAAGTGGCCCACCCAACAGGGCATCAGTTTAGCCTGGCCTTGTGCTGCGGGGTGAAAACCACCCCCAAACCTGACAGAAACCCTGGATGACAGCCGAGCACGATTTTCAAGATGAGCTGGTCTTTTTATACACAGAAGCACCTCCCGAGGCCAGACGCTTTCTGCAAAGAGCGAGAAGGTACAAATTTCAACCTGACCACCTAAGGAACCTCTGGGATGGGGCACACCAGGTCCTGGAAACGGAGGTGAGAGCCCACCACACCCTCAACTGCGAAAACACACCCCAGCACGTCAAGTGGCTCTGCTCAAAGTGGAAGTCGATCCTCGCGTCAGAGGCATCACAGCTTTCTAGAAGAATAAGCATAAACCGATGACGGTGCTCAGCACTGAAAACGGGAACAGGAAAACTCGCAAAACTTTCTCATAAAGTGAAAACATCCTATCGCACTTAGAACACAACTGAACTGAACACAATTGAGAAATAAACTAGAAAAGTTTGCTTCCACTCCTTTGCGTCTCTGTCAGACGTGCCTGGGCAAACAAGCGCGTCTGCTGACGACCAAGTGATCCGGTTCAGTCCGTAGTATCCACACCGCGTGGCCCCCACCCAGAGCCCGTCTGCTCCCCCGCACTCCCCCCCCCACCCATCTCCTAAAGCTAACCTGTATTTCGTGTCACTGACGGGATGCAGGGCTGCTACATCAGGATGCTCCCGGGGGCGACCAGGAAGGGACAAATGCACGCCCGAGGGCCCAAAGGCCCTCCCGCACCCAGGACCCCGGCTCCGTTGTGGGGCGTTACAAGTTGAACTAGCCTGAACAGCATGC